TGGTATCTATTGTGTGAAGAATTAGTTGACAACTGCCCTAGGTCTTTTGTTCAGTAGTAAGGACACGTCAAATAATCTGTGTGTTAAGGGCACGCCAAAGGTTCGAACTCTATATACAAACTCCTTTACTGGTTGCTCATGTATTTTCTACCTACGGTTTATCTGTATACCTCTTATTCAATGTATGTGATGATCTTTGGATTGGTAGTATCATACAAGTCTCTGAAACTATATGCTAACATATGTATTTCTTGTTCCAGACAATGTAGACTTGGGGACGGCTTGTGGTAAATACTACAGGGTCTGTTGCCTCAGCATCATCGATCCAGGTGAGTTTCTTGTCCGACTCGATCTACTTTAGTTGAATATCCTTCAAAATTTTTTCCTGATTTTAATGTTCTTTTTTTCAACTCTTCAGGTGATTCTGACATCATTAAGAGCATTCCTGGTGATCAGTGAGGCTTGCAATTCTGAATCTTGGAAAATTGTCCATTTTGTTTTTTTTTTTCTTATGAGAAGAATAGCTAGTGTAGATGATAATTCTACTTTATTTGTGATGACTGTCAAGATAATTTTGATGGTATTGGAATTATTTTTTCTGTCTTGAGCTAGTAATTTTACTTTTTATGAACAATGATTTGTTGTGCCATATTATACACTTCTAAATTCTGAGTTTTTGAAAGTTTACATGCATCAAGTTTAAATCTCTCTCAAAAGCACTTGTACAACCTCTAAATTTGGCTGGTCAAATCTTTGTTGGAGTTGAGTTTGCAAAATTGTTTTTGTTAGCCAAGGGTCTCTTAGAAACAATCTCTCTATCTCGGAGAGGTTGTTGTAAAGCCTATGTCCACTTTACCATCTCCGGACAAAATTATGTGGGATTTTATTGGATATGTATCTCTCTATCTTGGAGAGGTTGTTGTAAAGCCTATGTCCACTTTACCATCTCCGAACAAAATTATGTGGGATTTTATTGGATATGTTGTTATTGTATTCAAAATTGTTTTTTGTTGCTTAGTATAATTTTTCGATAAAAATGTTAAAGCTTCAAACCCTTTTGCTTTACTTAGTTCCAAAGTGTCTAATTAATAGGTCCTTTTCCTATATATAAGATTCTAGCTATTCAGAAATGATACTCCTATTATACTAGCATTGAAAGAGGTCATGCCTTCCAATATTTAATTAAGGGATTGATGTTTTTCCTTATTTATTATAAGCATTTTATATTTATAATATATTGATTTGATTAATTTAAATTTACGTTGATTTAATTATGTGTTGATCCGTTAGTCAGATTAAGATTTCATTTTATATTCGTGAAAATTAAGACTTTTCAACTTGAATACTAGATATACATTAAAATTTAGATGACCAAATCTGAATTTCAAGAATGTTGACACTTGAATGTACAAAATTTATAAATTATTACTAAATTATTCTAATATTAATAACAAGAAATATACTTGAAAAAATTATATGATGTTTGACAATATATAACGTGGTGATTTATGATAGTGATTGTTGCGCTAATGGTGATTGATGATGATGATTGTAAATGATGGTTTATTGTAGTGAGAACTAATTGTAGTGAATGACAATATTTGTGATTGTGGTTGAGAATATTAGTTGTGGCCTGTGGGTGAGAATCAATAATGGTAGTAGATAATGATGGAAGTGGTGAATGATGGAAATAGATATGATCCCAAGATTTTATTATAGATGTCTATCATTTAAATTTATTTAGATTGATGAAGTGACTGACAGTTTATTTAATAATTAAGATTCAACTGATCTCAAACAAATAAGATCTAATTCAGTTTCACGCTAATTCACTAGTCGATTAATTAAGTTTCGTGTTGATTCGTTAACCTGACTAATTTAGCTTAATGCCAATTAACTTGTCGATTAGTTACGTTTCGTGTTGATTCGTTAACCTGATTAATTTAACTTCACGCCAATTCACTGGTCGATTAATTATGTTCCGTGTTGATTCATTAACTTGACTAATTTGGCTTCACGCCAATTCAACTAACTTTCGCTGAGTCGGTGAAGAAGATCCCAAAAAAAACTCTACTTGATATTTTCGATATTATATACCTATCTATGAAAAAGATTTTGAATCCTCTTACTATAAGACATTTTCAAGACCTTTCAAAAGTTTTTAATATGAATTTTACTTGGTCAATAAGAAGAATATCACAGAGTATGAGTTAATTAATTTAGATTTATATTGATCAATTGAATCGATTGATTTAAATTCACAATAAATTTTCACAAATATCTCTATTTGGGGTGATCTTTAAATTTTTACCTCCATTTCGATTCATGACTTATTCAATTTTTAATCAATTTATCAATTCAATTAATTTAAATTTATATAACATATAATCCATTGTCATAAAAAGAGTTCTCAAAATATTCGTATTTTCATTCCTAAAACTCAAACACGAAACTCGAAATAGTATCAAAGTGTTATTTTTGGTGAAACACTCTATTATTACCTTCTTCCTTCGAACCCCATTGTCTTCACCTCAATTTAACTCTCCTCCACTCTGCTAAAAACCTTCAAAATCAATGGCAAAAAGTCAGAAAATCTCTATTCGAAGCCAAAATCAAACCCAAATGTGCAATTCACAGTCGGAGAAACCAAAATGGAAGATGAAATTATCTTCCAAACAAGCCAAAAATAGTCCTATTTCGTACAGAAAAATATCAGCTATGAAGGTTACTGCTATGTTTTCTTTGATCTTTTTATGTCTTCAGAATTTGGGTATTAACTAGAAATTGGGTCATACTGTAATTTTTATTATTTTGGGTGTTTCAGATTGTTCCTTTTTTTGTATGTCATTCTTGAACTCTGATGAATTGAGGTTTCAAAATTTCTATGCTAGTGATTTTTTATATGTTTTATAGTCGAGGGTCCGTACCCCACTTGTAGAATTACACTCGTTATATTGTTGTTATTGTTGTAAAGTTAAGTAACAAACACTAGAAGTTCTAATTACTAGAGAGAAAAAGATAGAAACTTTATTGGTTGAATAATACTAATGTGACATATGTATGCTATATTATCAGATATGAATGTTATTCCTATGTTTTCTTTATATCTTAACATTGGAATTTTGATATGTATCTCTGTGGTTGGATAATTTTATCGGAAACAGCCTCTCTACCTCCCAAGGTTGGGATAAGGTTTACGTACACTCTATCTTCTGGAGACCTCACTAATGGGATTAGACTCGCTATGTTGTTGAGAATTTTGGGTAATGCTAGTATATTTTTTGGGGAGTTGCAGACTATTCCCCATTTTGATGTTTCAGTTTCTGTAACTCTGATGGTTTTCGGTTTCAACAGACTGTAGAAGCTCTAATTACAAGAGCGACAATCTAGAGTGACATCTCTATGCTGTATATTTATCGTTTTTTTTTCTTTTTTTGGGATTCTTAGTATGTGTTTGGACATCTTAGTTAAAGTTGAAAAAGAGGATTTTTTGAAGTTGAAAAATGGCGTCGAGAGGTTGAAGATGTGTTTAGACATGCATTTCACTTGAAAAAAGTTGCGAGTGGGGAAAAAATTTCACTTGAAAACTAATTAAAAGATCATATTGATTTTTTTTGTCTCTGAAGCTTAGCATTTCGATTTGTTCTCACTGTTTGAATATTTGAGTATTAACTAGAATTTGGGCCATGCTGATGCCGTAGTTTCTTGGGAGTTACAGATAATACACATCTTGGTATTTCAGTTCTAGAGCTCTGATGCATTGGGGTTTTGGTATGCTAGTGAAAAGAATACCCAGCAGACACTGGAAGTTCAATCCAGTTGAAAGAGGCAACTCTATGCTGGCAAACATTTTACTCAATAGGATTAGTGATGTAAGGCATAAACCCGCTTGCTTGTACTTCTCTTTTGAGTTTCGCTTTTATTATATTAAAATAAAGACAACTAGCCCTAGGCAACCTGCCTAGTAGATTTGCTTTAAAAAAAGAGAAAAAAAGAAGGATTCTTAATCATAGTATTTCAATATAACTCCTAGTTTAGGAGGTTTACAGGTTTCTCCTTACGGAAGCGGATGTGCAACAATCATGGCTTGAGTTATCGGATGTTGGGATCCACACAAATGGATGAACTCCCTTGTTTTCGTAGCCTATGTATCCTCTACTAAGATGCAAAGCATTTGTCTCTTTTCAAACCTAAGAGCTGTTATATTATGGTGGAAAAACCTCTCTTTCCAATACACACAATAGTGTATTTATATGTTATAAGTAGGATTTGGGAGGAGAACAAGTTAATGGACTCAACAACTACAACAACATACCTAGTGTAATCCCACCAGTCGGGTCTGGGGAGGATGGTGTGTACGCAAGCCTCACCCCTAATTTGTGAAGGCAGATAAATTGTTTTTGAAAAACCCTCGGCTCACGTAAAAAATTCAAAGCAGGTTCAAACATAAAATATAGTAGCGAAAAAGGCATGTTGAAAATAATAAATAAAAGAACATTGACAACAATATATAGTATGTCAATCAAAGCAAAATGAAATAATAAGTGGTATTAAAACCATAGAGATAATAGAAAATAGTAATAGCACAACTAGTAGGAGAAACTAGACAACGCTTGCCAACTAACTTTCTACCCCAATTTCTGATTTCATACCCTTCTATCTAGGGTCATGTCCTTGGTAAGCTACATGAGTGTCATGTTATGTCTTATCACCTCTTCCTAATACCTCTATGGCGTACCTCTACCTCTTCTCGAACCCCCCAATATCCAACCTCTCACACCTTCTCATTGGGCATCAGGGCATTTTTTCTTCACATACCCGAATCATCTCATTTTCGCTTTCCTCATATTGTCTACCACATAGGCCGCTTCCACCTTGTCCCGGATATCTTCGTTCCTAATCATATCTCTCCTAGAATGCCCGCACATCTATCTCAACATCCTCATTTCCGCGACTCTCATCTTTGGGATGCATGAGTTCTTGACCGGAACATAGCTAGTCTAATCGCCACTCAATAAAACATTACCTTTAAGTCTTGACAACACATTCTCACACAAGACACCTAATGCGAGCTTCCTCTTCATCCACCCAGTTCCAATGCGATGTGTAGCATGATTGTCAATCTCTCCAACAACAACAACAACAACCCAGTGAAATCCCACTAGGTGGGGTCTGGGGAGGGTAAGTAGTACGCAGACCTTGCCACTACCTCGTGGAGGTAGAGAGGCTGTTTCCAAGAGACCCTCAGCTCAAGAATATCAAATCTAAGTGACAGGAGAGATATATGCAACATAACAGCCAATACAAAAGATAGCGTATAATCAACCAATGAGACAATAACAAGAAAGATATAGGGAGTGAAACGCAGTAAACAGCAAAAGGCTAGGACTGCTCCAAACGCTAACAACCCAAACCCTCGCAAGGGAAGACAACCCGCTAACCCTACTAACCTTCAACCTTAATACGCGACCTCCACTCCTTCCTATCTAGAGTCATGTCCTCGGTGATGTGAAGCATAGCCAAGTCTTGTCTAATCACCTCTTCCCAATACTTCTTGGGTCTACCTCTACCCCTCCGCGTACCCTCTACCACCATTACCTCGCACCTCCTCACTGGGGCGTCTGCACTCCGTCTCTTCACATGTCCAAACCATCTC